CTATTTCCAACGGATATCCGTCGGAATTATTGCCGCGTTTCATAACGTTCGAATAATTTCAACGGATTGCCGTTGAAATTCGTCAAACGTTATTTCCAACGGAAATCCGTTGGAATATACGTGGAAAATTTCCAACTCAAATATCCGTTGATATGCCGTTGGAAATTTCCAACGGATTTCTAACGGACGAATCCGTTAGACGTCCGTTGGAAATCCGTTAGAAATGCGTTGGAATTATTCCAACGGTATACCGTTGGAAATCCGTTGGAAAAATTACAACGGATTAATCCGTTGGAAAAATCCGTTGGAATTTCGCATTTTTTTGTAGTGGATTTTTTTCTTCGAATTTCACGTCTTTTTTTAAATACATGATCAACATCTATTTCCGTAGCAATTGATTTAGCAATTTCTAAAGCATTAGAAAACCAGTTTCTTTATATTTTTCAAAGAAAGAAATCAAACCCTTTTAGTTTTTGAATAGCAACATCAATATGCATATCACTTGCTTGTAAATATTTACTTACCAAATTAATTGTATATAGTATTTCAAACCAAATAACTATTGCTACCAAAAATTCAAAATCACCAAGCTCATATGTCGCTAATGATTTAGCTTCACTTCTTATTTTAGAATCATTATCAATTTCTGATATTTCTAATAGAGCTTTTTGTATTTGTGAAATTTGAAATCTAATCGCTTTAACACTTTCAACACGACTTTCCCAACGGATAGATGACAATGGTTTTAGAGACAATCTTTTTACATTATCTTTCAAAATTTGCCACCTTTTAGTAGAATTAGAAAAAAATTGTATATATCCTTTGTATAACTCCAAAATTTTTTTTAGATTTACCACATGTATTAGCCATATCACATAATACTAAATTTAGACTATGAGAACCATAAGGAGTATAAAAAGTCCCAACGGATAGATGACAATGGTTTTAGAGACAATCTTTTTACATTATCTTTCAAAATTTGCCACCTTTTAGTAGAATTAGAAAAAAATTGTATATATCCTTTGTATAACTCCAAAATTTTTTTTAGATTTACCACATGTATTAGCCATATCACATAATACTAAATTTAGACTATGAGAACCATAAGGAGTATAAAAAGCCTAGGATTAACATCTAAAAGTTTTTTTTGTACACCTTGATTTTTTCCTTTCATATTTGATCCGTTGTCATAACCTTGTCCTCTTATATTATCTATATGAAGATCAAGTGATTTTAGTTCATTTTGTAACACATCAAAAATCTCTTGCCCAGTTGTATCATTCACATTTAAAAACCCTAAAAACGATTCTTCAATCTTAACAAGATCAGAAGAGATATTCACATACCTGATAATCAAAGACATTTATTCTTGGTGGCTACTGTCTGGAGTACAATCAAGTATAACAGAAAAATATTTTGCTTGCTTTACATTTTTAATGATCTTATTTTTAATTGTTGAAGCAAGTAAAAGAACTAGTTCATTTTGAATATTATGACCAAGATAATGATGACGAATTTCATCATTTATAATACGTCTCAAATGTTCTTGAACAATTGGATCAAAATCTGCCAACATTTCAATTAAACCCAAAAAATTTCCATTGTTATTTTCAAATAATCTTCCATTTGTTCCACGAAATGCTAAATTATGTTTTGAAAGAAATTTTACAATTGAAATAATTCTAAACATGATATTTTTCCAATGATCTTTTTCTTTCATAAGTTGTGTATAAGCTATTTTATCTATAGTTTGATTTTTTTAAAATCTTAAACGCAAATCATACCAAGCGACCATATTTTTTATATGTTCTGCATTCATTTCATGTTCTTTAAGTCTAATACTAAGATGTATCCAATCTCCAAAACCCTCATTTGCTAATTGGCCCTTTCCAATATTTTTTTTAAATATTTTACAACAAAAACAAAATACTTTATCTAGTTCTTTCGAATAAACAAACCAATCTCTATCACATCCTTCACCATTTGATAAAATTCTAGTATAATATATTGATGAAAATCACCTAGAATTTTTTTTTTTTTTTATTACCTTTTTCAATATTCATATCTCTCTTAGGACCATTTGCTACTAAAATGTCAATCATTTTAGAATCAAGATTATCCCAATTTCTTGGATAAAAAATATCAAGTATATTAGTTTGATAAGAATTTTTTTCATCATTTTGTAAACTATCATTATTATCAATAATCTTAATATCATCATTTTCATTCATATCTACTACATTATTAGTAATATCATCTTCATTTTGACTAAAAGTTTGTGGTCTTTTATAACAAATTTATCTAAAGCTTCTTTTTGAGATTGAATTAATTCTTCAATTCTTTTCTTTCTTTTTTTTACGTTTTTCAAATCCAAAATCATATTTTCTAATTCCAGAAGACATATTTAAATTTAAATACTTAATAAAAAATAAGAAAAATTTAAGAAAAAACCTGGAAATTAGGAATTCAGTTTGATTTCCCAATTTTTTCTTCCAACTATCAAACCTGAAAATAAATAACAATATTATTAGCATTTATTAATATAAATAAAATCATCACATAAATAACAATTGAAATAAAAAATAAAAATAAAAAGTACCTTAATCTTATGTGTTATTCTCTTGAGCCTTGAAAAAACAAATGAAAAATACTCTATAATATTTTAAGGACAAAATAATGAATAGTAAATTGAGAACGTAAGGTAGAGTGATAAATGGTTTTGATCTTCCATTTTTATAGAATAATTTGTTACCGTTAATAAATTATTTAATATTATTATTTTAAAATCTGTAATGATGTGCTTTAATAAATGTTGGTTACGAAGCGACGTTTCGTAATAATTATTTTAATTAAAAATAGTTAACGGTCAAAAAGTTATTACGTCTCTATTATAATTATATTTAATATTATATATTATTAATAATTTTTAAATAAAATGGGCTCCCAAATTTTGGGACCCTCTACCATCGCACCGGTTGAACCGCTTAAAAGACAGCCCTGCATATGTATAATATTTATCACTCTAAAATTAAACAAATATCCAATACAATTATACATATTTGAATTAAAAAATATATTTAAATTTTGAATTTTTTTAAAAATATTATAATATGCATGGATTTCTATAAAAAAATTTCAAAGATATAAATAATTTTGAAGTCCAAAAGATTAAACAAATACACTGGAGTGTTCATTCTCTAAATTTTTGAAATCTAAATCTAAACCGGTCATACGGATTTTTTACCTTTTCATATTCGTTTTGAAGTATCCATGAGATCAGATATCCGCAAAGCTACGAATAAGGGTACCTAGAAAACAAACTCAAAACAATGGATTTTCATGTCGTGAATTAAGTTTTTTGTTATGTTCGTAAATTAATTATAGATCGTTAAAAATAAAATTTGGATTTTACCTTTACCCACAAAAAAGACTTTGCAAATATGATTCGACTATTGTTTTTAAGTTAACATTTTTAATTTGAAATTTTATTGACTTAAATTTATATATAAATAAAGAAAATATATTTTTATTAAAATTTTATTTTATTTTTGTTTTAAATTATATATTTTTATTTTCAAACATTCAATTTCGTTTTAAAATAATTTAATTCATTTTTAAATCTTATTCATGTATGTTTGGATTATGAAATATTTGGACCAAAATGGGCATATAAAACGTTTCCTTCAACATTCTTAAGTTTTAGAAAAATGCTTCATATACGTGTTCCTTCAAAAATGAATTTCAAAAGTAAAAACGGTAAAAATGGTGTATCATACCATAGAAAATATTCCTTGAGGGTTTGTCACTTGCGCAAAAGGAATATGCTTTTTTGGCAATAAAAAGAATAAAGAAAGCATGCTGAAACCACACAATACGTATACTTGGACCGTGGTCCTTAGCTAGTCAGAGCCTTATATATTATATGTGAATGTCGACTAAACGTCCTTTTTTTAAAAAATAAATAAATATTTTATAATAATGATTTTATTTTATTAAAATATCTATTGAATTGGACCTTTTATTATCATATCTATGGACCTTTGTTCAGCCCCAAAGGTCATCGAGCCTTCAAGATTTGCGATCTTCACCACAATTATTTTATTCCAAGGAAAAGCATTTCAGAAAAGACAACTACAATAATATAATTTTTTTTTTTTTAAAAAAGCATTTTATTCGAAAGAAAGGCACCCCACCTCTTATTTTTATTTGGAAAATGTGGTCACGAAATAAATAAATCGAATTCTCCCGATAATTATATAATTTCATGTAAAAAACGAAAGTGACATGCAAGGACCACGAATGTGTTTAAATATTAAAAAAAAACATTCCTATATTTTCATTGATCAATCAAAAGTTTAAACACACAAAAGTGTTTCTATATCACGAAATTATCTAGTTCGCTTAAGATTTAAATAATAATATGTTCCAATTGGAACAACAATTTGTTTTAAATATAAAAATAACTAAAAACCATATATTCATCTATTTATTAAAACTTGTTTAAATTGTAATTACTGAAAGGCAAGTTTCTTTTAATCCATGAAAAGATGAATTACTCCTTTCAAAATTCCTAAATTGCAATCCATAGCAGGAGATATTTTATCCTGCTTTTTTAGACACTGTTTAGGGCTTTTTTATCGTCTAGATTCATGGTAACATTTTAGGTAAATTAGCGAATTCTAGAATAAGATTAAAAAAAATCCATTTTAATTAAAAGTATTAAATTTTAAGACAAAAAAAATCGTATTATTAAATGTTTTAAATTTCTAAATAAGGCCATCTTTGTCCAAATTTGCAAAATTCTGGCCATTTGAAGCCGCCATGTCGCTCCTGCGCTCGCCACGCGAGGTTAGCGCTGAACTCTTTAGATTTATCGACATCCAATCAAAACATGACACGTCACATCAATGAATCTATCCCTGATAGCGTCCAGATTCTATATTCCTTGGAGGACGCTTCCACGACTGATCGTTATTTAACGCAGTTTCTTTCCATCGAAGAAGCGAAGAACAAACAAGATCTTTGAATCATTTCTTCTTCTTTTCTATCTTTTTTTTTAATCAAAGAGAGAACTTTTTTGTTCAGATATGGCGTTAGCTGTTACTTCTTCGTCTGCAGCGATCTCTGGATCTAGTTTCTCGCGTTCAGGGTCTTCTGCTGATCGTAAAGGTACAAATTTTCCCCCACTTTCTCGCATTTTCTGGGTACCCATATGGGCTTAATTGATTATCTATCCTTTTCTTTTATGAATTTCGTCTGGTAAATTGTTATGGGTGGGTCGGTTTTCTTGGAGGATTCAGGCATGATTTTTAAGTTCATTTCCCCCTATATTCTTTGGGGATTTCAAATTTTGAGCACTTTATACTCGGATTCCAGAATCTATCTGGTGAAACGGAAATTGTTTTGCTGAAATTTAAGCTGGGTTTGTCAAAATAATTGAGAAGTCGAATTTGGGGGTTTCTGTTTCAGCTCCACAAATCAGCTCTCTGAGGTTGTCGGATGGAGCCCATGTCGCAGCTTCTTCGGTCGTGCATATTTCTCAGAGACGCTCCTCCGTAAAACCCTTGAACGCTGAGCCGCCGAAACGCAGCGAATCCGTTGTTCCTCGAGTGGCAACAATCTCTGCTCCTGGTGAGTTTTTTTTTCCTTCGATTTTTTGTTTTCTTTTTCTGTCGTTTGCTGTGTCTGTTTGTGCTGATTCCGTGTCTGAATTTCACAGAAGTTGAAGAGAAAGGAACTGTTGAGGATTTCGAGCAGCTTGCAAAGGATCTCAGCGGTGCTTCTCCGCTCGAAATCATGGACAAAGCCCTCGAGAAATTCGGAAACGACATCGCAATTGCCTTCAGGTGATGAAATTTCTGATAAAGGAAAGGTGATCTTTTGTGGGTGTTTGAATTCAAACTTTGTCGATATCTGAATCTGTTGTTGTGTATTGCAGTGGTGCTGAAGACGTAGCACTGATCGAGTATGCTCGATTAACCGGGAGACCCTTTAGGGTTTTCAGCTTGGACACTGGTAGACTCAACCCGGAAACATACAGATTCTTCGACGCGGTGGAGAAACACTACGGAATTCGGATCGAATACATGTTTCCGGATTCGGTTGAAGTTCAGGGATTGGTGAGGAATAAGGGTTTGTTCTCTTTCTACGAAGACGGGCACCAAGAGTGTTGCCGTGTGAGAAAGGTAAGACCTTTGCGTCGTGCCCTGAAGGGTCTTCGAGCTTGGATCACCGGGCAGAGGAAAGACCAATCGCCCGGGACAAGATCCGAGGTTCCTGTGGTGCAAGTCGATCCGGTTTTCGAAGGGCTGGAAGGTGGGATAGGTAGTCTAGTGAAGTGGAACCCTGTAGCTAATGTCGAAGGTAATGATGTCTGGAACTTCCTGAGAACGATGGACGTGCCCGTGAACTCGTTGCACGCTCAGGGTTACGTATCGATCGGGTGTGAGCCGTGCACGAGGCCGGTGCTTCCGGGTCAGCACGAGAGGGAAGGAAGGTGGTGGTGGGAAGATGCAAAGGCGAAAGAATGCGGTTTACACAAGGGGAATCTCAAGGAGAGCGGTAATGGTGATTCAGGAGCTGGCGAGGAGAAATCCGCCATTGTCGAGGATATATTCGAGAGCAAGAACCTGATCACATTGAGCAGAGCAGGAATCGAGAATCTGATGGCACTCGAGAACCGTAAAGAGCCATGGATCGTTGTCCTCTACGCCCCTTGGTGCCCATTTTGTCAGGTAACTGATCCATCTTTCCGCCATTGCAGAGCTAACCCAGGTGGAGAAAGCTGACAACTTTTATGGTTTTGTTCAGGCGATGGAGGGATCGTACGTAGAACTGGCGGAGAAATTGGCCGGAAAAGGAGTGAAGGTGGCGAAATTCAGAGCGGACGGTGACCAGAAGGAGTTTGCGAAGAAAGAGCTTCAACTGGGGAGCTTTCCGACAATACTTCTGTTCCCGAAAAGTGCTCCGAAACCCATCAAGTATCCGTCGGAGAAGAGAGACGTCGATTCGCTCATGTCATTCGTGAATCTTCTCCGGTGACAGTCGTCTGAACTGAGATGATGATGAACTCGTCGACCGACCCTCCTTTTTTTTCTTTCCCTTTTTGGTGAGGAAGTGATTGAGATGAAGTAATGATTCATCGAAATCTTGTTTGATTATGAATCGAAAAGAATAAAAGGGACTCTTGTATCTTTTTTTTTTTAAATGTAATATAGCGTGTTGGGTTTTCTTACAAAACCCTTCGGCCTGTCCTTTTATGTCCTGTTTCTCTTCTCTGATGTAAAGAGGAAACTAGCTCGTGTAATGGAATGGATGTAATTTGCGCCAAAACAAGCTTGTTTTAAATTAAATCTGATTCTATATTTTTTTCCCCGAACATATGATTCTGTAATTTTATTAAAAGTGAAAAAGGAAAAAAAATTAACACATTATTATTATATAGTTTAATCGCAACTCTGTTCACGAGTTTGTCATAAGATATTACGATTTTATTTCTCTTTTTGTACCCTCAACAGTACCACATATACACATACATGTATATATAAATATGTATATATGTGCATGTATATATAAATATGTATATATGTGCATGTATATATAAATATATGTTAATATATATATGTATACATATGTACACATTCATATAAATATATATACATATGTTCACATACATATACATAAGTACGAACACATACATATACATATATACATGTGTATATATATGTGTATGAATGTTATGAACATGTATATATGCACGTGTTCATATGCATATGTAAGAGATATATACATAAAGTTGGATGATTCTCCAATCGTTTCATATGGTCAAAATTAGCTATATATATACACACACACACGTATATTAACTACAAACATCGTATTTGAAACACAAACACCTTCCGGAAAATTACATAATTTTTTCATTAGGACTTGGGTGTTTTATATTAAATTAAGATGATGAATATCACTTGTCCAACCAAATCGTTTACAGTGAAACCAAGAATAATTAATTCTATGGGGAGGAGTAGGTCATAACAAAAACCAAGCAAAGATAAAACAGGTTACATGACAAAACTTGCCTTGGCAATCTAACTGCAAACGAAGGGTCAGGCGAGGCGTGGAGGCTTGAGCAAGTATACGTCCCTCACCATTCCTTTCCCTATCTCTCCCACCTGCTTTAGCTTCTCTTCCGGATTTCTACCTTCTTCTTCTCCTTCTTCTTCTCTTTCTCGTTTCTGTTACCATTCTCCACACTCAGGGGGAAAGCAAACTCTCTAATTCAAAAGAAGGTTTCCAGGTTACGTTCGTTTTATTTACCTTTGAATTGGGTTTCTCCCACGTTAGGCCAATCACGTCGCCTCCAATATGGTCGTACCATGGCTTCAGCGTCTTTATCTCTTTCTGCACCGAAACGAGACATTGAGCCCGAGAAGCCGATAAGACTATGCCACTTTTGTAGTATTTTAAAAAAATTGTTCAGCACTTGCCTGTAACTCCCGCACGAAGCACTCTGTGGGCTCGAAATTCACCATTAGCTTATCTTTAAGCTCACCGGGACTTCTCTTCGAATCTCTATGCAACAAAAACGGGTGAAATGCGTTGCTTGCTTTTCCACGGGCCACGTGCTTACCTGCTCCGTGAAAGGGAAGGCCACGTTAACAAAAACAGATACACAGTAGAGAGAGGTACGCATGGAAAGGAAAATGGATCAAGAATGGGACCTTGGTTAAGTTCAGATGGAAATAGAAGACGTTGAGGGTAAGGTAATCTGTCTCTATGGAGAAGAACAACCGCATCATAGTTGTTCAATGGCGTCCTGAAAAGGCACTGCAACACACATTCACGAAATTTAATTCGATCATCTAATGACAACAATATCAGAAAATAAAGAAGATTTTTTGTTATCAAAGCTATTCCATTCCAGTGCATCTCTCACCCACCTCCCATCGAACCGAATCATTCTGCTCATGTAATACAAGCTTGCTTAACAAGTTTGCGCTGCTTCGGGCATAAGCAACCAACCTTTTCAGTTCCTTTATCAAAGCATAATACACAAGTGAGCTCAAAGAACGGATACATAATAATAGAAGAGTACTATGAATATTATGAATGATTTGTTTTTTTTTACACGCTTATTAAGGCTAGCAACTAACCAACGAGTTCGGTGAGTTTCTTGTCCAGGCTTCAGATGCCTTGTCATAAGATGTAGCCAAGAACATTGCTGAACTTATATTTTGCTTGTCTTCCTCGTACCCTTTCCGGCTTGACATAAAGTTATCCTATGAAACAAGAATGCGATTATTGAGAAAAAAGAGAGCTTCAGGAGTATAAAAAATGCATTTCTATCAATCTGGCACAATAAAAGAGCGCTCAACTAGACATAGAAACTTACATTTATCTCCTTCTCGTCATTTCTGCTCAAGTCATCGTTTATGTCAACAATCAGCGGACAGAACATCCAATCATAGTCTGCTAGTAACCTTAAGAACCTGTTATACAGTCCAGCAAAACAGAGACGCTACTTTCAGTTTCGGCTTCCACACCAGGATGCTGAGTTGATTTTCATTTTCCAAAACATAAAAAATATGCAAGTGGAAACAAACCTTAAGAACCCATTAACCCGTGAGCAAGGAACACCAAGTGGCAGAGGTTTGAGGAAGACATGTGCTACCAAAAGTTCAACAGCCTCTTCCATCAAGCAAGCCGAAAAAAGATGTGAAGCAACCCATCGTTTTGCAAACCTTCAAGAGCATTCACGTAACAGCTAAGGATTTGTAACATGCAGCAGAAGAACCCGCAAAGAGGCTTAGCTTTTACCTGACAACTGGCGCATATATGGGAAAGCGACCTTGCAAACCATTGATCATGCTAGCATGCTGACTGCGCAAAAAAAGCATTTTATCTGTGGATTGAATTCCCTTCATTGGATCAGCTCCACCTGCAGTTCAGTAGAAGCTCAGGGAAGTTAGTATCACTATCACATAGATCTATCCAGAAGTAGTGGAGAAAAGATCGTGCAATGGAAGCATCTTACTTTCTCTTTTCACCAAATTGAGGCCTCTTTCATGCAATATTCTCAGGCGAAATGCATAACCACCCATGAAAACATCAACATCATCCTCTGTAGCTGTACTTGGTATTCCCTCACTGTTCTGAAGGCTGTCAGCATTTTCATTATAAAAGACATTAAGACAGGGAACAGTCTAGATAGAGAACACTGTGACTTAACAGCATGAAGTGACAGCAATAGCTGCTTAACCCACCTCTCTGCAATTTTGAGGAGGAAGGCAGATTTAGTTTTCTCAATGGCCAAATCATCCATAGGCCAATTACCAGACCCTTCCAGCTACAATTTCATATCAAAAGAAAGGAGAAATAAGGGTTCAGAATAAATAGTCAAAACATTAGGGTTAAGATAAATAATCAATGCAAGACTCAGATACAAACTATTTGGGAGATGGATCATACCTGAATCATGACCTCCATCGCTGGAATGCACGATGGCGTAAGCTTATGCAATCTTCGAGCATCAACCTTTTCGTTGGCCACTGGGTGAGGCTCAGGAGGGAACACAGATGTAAACCGGAGAGCTGTGGAAAACCAGCAAATCCACAAGAAAGCAACTCATTATTGCTTAATCAACTACTTCCTTGTAGATGCTCAAGGCTCAGTCCAAAAAGAAAGAAGAAGAAAACAAAACTTCAAGGAAATAGAAACTGTGACTAGTTCTGACAAGAAATCACTAAACCTTTTGAAAATTACCTGAATCTAAAGGCTGAACACTAGACACTTTCAGAGGAATATCTTCAATCTCACGCAGACATTTCGATAAAACATCAAAAGCTCCAAGTAAAGATCCAGATAAAGAAATAGGGTCTGGAAATCATACAGTATTATCGAGTTAGACAGTGACCTTGATACAAACACTCAATGAATGGGAAAAAACAAATGGAAAGAAAATGATAGAATCAGATACAAAAAGATGAAATCTACCTTTATCACCGCTGATCAGAGAGAAATCGAGTTGATCCACTATTTGCACAATGTCTTCGGAAGAGAGTGAAAGATGACGCCGAAACACGTAATCAATAATTTGTTTCATGATAAGATGTCTGGTCCAGTGATGAGTCTCCCAAACTTGAACAATTAAAAGGCATTAGTCAGCTTGCACTAACACAGAAAAGAACTTCATAGTTCTGCTAAAACAACGTAAATTTTCCACCTGTGCTTTCTGCAATTCTTCCGTCCTTAAATCTCCTCAACTCAGCCTTTTCCCCCCAAAACTTCCGGAACTTGAGAGACTACACAGAAATAAGATTTAGTATCACACCAGGAGAAGAGGAAGATTAGAATTATCAATCATGGATATACCTCTATCTTGTTTTCTGCATTTGGCCCAATATCGACCATTCTAAAAGCCTTCTCGACAGAACTGACTGAAATGCCAACGAACAATGCTTCTGTGTCAAGCCCAGACAATCCCTGGAGGATAGGTTGTAGGACCAGGTTAGGTTTAAAAAATGCACATTAGGATAAGTAAAACAGAGAATGTCCAACTCAAATACATTACATTCTCTATATGCCAATCCAGATGGGTATTCTTCCAAACAACCCTAATTAATTTTGCTCTGTCACTCAGTCCTTGATGCAGCAGGCTATGCACTTTCTGCTCATACATTCTCCAACACTCCTTATCCAAACAAAATCCTGACGTGTAGACTGTCGTTTTCCCTTTTAGATTTAACCTAAGAAAATGGCTGTTAGGATAGAAAACTGGCAACCAACATGAATGTGCAAAACTAATTAAAGGACAGAATCACATGAATTATATGGTGTAGTTATGTTCGCCAGATGCTAAGGTACTTCAAGAAACTAGCTGCAACTCATGCATTAGAGTGATAGACATGAAAAAATCTGCATAGTCTAGAAATTTCATACCACCTTTCCATATGTAGAAACCATTCATACTTCATCCTGATTAATTAGCCAATAAGAACCAAAAGCGAAAGGAACATTTACCTTATGCAATAGTCATACTTAACAAGATAATCAATCTTAGTCATGAAAATATCCTCGAACCCTCCATCTCTCGATTTCCCCATGCATTTAAGCGTCAAAGCAGCCTCATCTTGGAGCTGTGTGGACAAGCAAAAGAAAAAAATGGAACGCTACGGTGAACACGACCAGAGATGTGAGTCAGAATTCCAGAAAAGCAAACTAGATCGAATCCTAGGTGAGCTTTCAGCTTACAGTACCTCCTGGAATCCAACACTACTCATCCGGAAAGCCAAATTTACATGGCTGGATGAATCACATAAAACAACTGGAAATGACTGCCGAAACTGCGCCTTCTCCTGAAAGTCAAACGTTGACAATTTGTAAATCACAATATGCAGAAACAGTGGACACTTGGACGTACACACAATAACCTTCTTTCATGCAATGCAAAATTTCATAATATAATCAGTCGGTAAAACAAACCAATGTTAACCCGCTCCCTATGTTAACAAGACTGGGTGGCTCCATAAGGGACAAAGCTTGATTACCTGGCAGTGCATGCAAAACATGCTAAACCTACTGCCAGGGATATAAAATCTAAAAGATTCAAGAGTTCCATATATTGGGCATCAGATGGACATATTCGTTAGTGCCTTTCAGCAGGTTTTCGGTAACGAAATACTCATACCAATGTCGCAGAAGACAGCATAGTAATTTCTTTCTCTTACTGTTTTAGTACAATAGGATCAAATTGCATCCAAACCAGATTTTCAAACAGGAAAAAATGATTATTAAAAGGACATAGACTTGAACTGTCAAACATGTACAAATAGACCAAGAAAGAAAAACGATAAACTTATTGCACCTCTTTGGAGACACTTTTTTCGTTCTGTGGTGGAAAGTAGAGGCCCCTCTCCCATAGTTTAGAGGTGGCTGCCAAATAGTGGTGACAACGGCAAAAATGAATCAGAAAGAACAGCCAATACCATGCATATTCCCTTTTGAAGCATAGAAATGCAGGAAAAAAAAGGAATATAAAAAGGAAAAACAAACTAACCCACCATAGGACATATTAACATATATACTAATTATCCACAATCTTAATAATAAAAGTACAAGACAGATAGTGGCAAAAACCGTCAAAAGCTGGCGTACCAATGAAATCCAACGTAACTCTAAATATCTCCAGCGCCTTTAGTGATTTGGTAATCTTGTCATGGTTCGCAATGTATGCAAGAATCATAGAGATGAGAAATCCATTTAAACAATCGTGGGCATATATTGAGCTCCTTTGTCTCACCCAAATCTGCACCAAAATGAAATTGTTGATATCCAAGGTTTCTAAATAACACGGTGAAGCTATAACTCTCACAATATTAAACACCATACCTTTAACAAGACCAAGGCATCGCCCAATTCCTTCCACCCAGAGAAGGTTTTCTTGAGAAACTCCGAATTTTCCTCCAAAAACATGTCTTCCAAAACGCTTGAGTTGTAAGTTGGTGTAGGCTGAGAGACACCCTCTTTATCATCAATACAAAACAAAATTTAATAAATGATGCATCAATATATTGCCAATTAAACCCCGTTAATATTTACTTGAATTAAGAATTACCATGACTCGCAGAGCGGACATTGTTTCTGTTCAAACTCAATTTTGCAACGTTAAACAACGATGTAGCTGCAGGAATTATTCTTACAGAAAACCCAGGCACCTCAACAAGCTTCTTAGCTGCAAATAAACAGTACCCGGTATGAAGAACAATGCCAAAGAGCAAGCCTATTCATATCCTGGAGATAAAGCCTGGTATTTGTATGATCCAAAAAATTCGAGCACACCTGGAAACACAACTAGGATCGGCTTCCGGGCCTCGTTCTGCAGGGTTGACCATTCGACCTTCGCAAAGGAAGACGATAACAACAAATACTTTCTGATTACACAGAGATATAAGCATCGTTTAGCATGGTAACGATGATTCATGTAGTCCTTCTCGTAAAAACACTCCTGCAAAAATCCATAACTTCTTCAATGATATTCTGCGGTTCAAATTGGGATACTCACACTTATAGGGATTTGCAAAAATAGGAAATTAGCAACAAAACTACCTTAGGCAAACGAACAAGAAGATCAACATTGGAATCAGGCTTTGCCATGCTATGTATGGAGTGACTGCCACAGAGTTTGAAATCATTTGGCTTTGGCTTCTTGAAATTGAACTCTACTTTGTCCGTCCTGATGTCCCTAATGAAACCGGGAGCCAAATCTGACCCAACCTGTGGAAATCAAACATGATCAAACATTTTTCCCTAATAATGAAAAATTGCATAATACCAAGAAGTAAAAACTGTTCCACGACGGCCATGAGAGTTCAGGAAAATAAGAGGCCAACCTTCAGATCCTCTGGGATTTTGGCAATAGCATCTTTGATCGACTCAACGACGCCGTCGACAAGTTCGGTGAAAGACGGGACGTAATCTAGACGAACATCTTTCAACAACTCGTTCACCTTAAAATCCAGAGAGTCCGAGAAAGCAGCAGTGTCCAGCTCCATTCCTCAGCTCCGACCAGAAATCTGACTCACGAACGAGGGATTAGGGTTTAAGAGAGGAAGAAAGGGTTTACACTTCACATTACCGAATATGCAAATTAGGGGTTGGCGCGGGCGGGTAACTGCGATTTTTAGAATCGTCGTGGAAGACCGACATAGAAGAATTAGAAAGACCGACGTAGATACGAATGATCCTTACCTAATTCGCGGGAGACAAAGGCAGGGGAAATCGAAAAAAGGGAAATGGATGGAAACTCGCCGGAAATCTGACAAAAATCTGCCGGAAACTCAATTAGCGGCGCCACAACAAACTATAGAATGTTAAAACTCGAAGACAACCCTGATCTGAGAATCGAAAAGAGTCTGAGGAAAAACCAGAATCGAACACAATCTGAGTAAAAAAAACAGAAAGTGAAGAGGAGAGTAGAGGACGATGCCAAACAAATCAAAGAAGAGATAGCCTTATTCACAGAGAGCAGAAGAAGATGAAGAAAAGACCCTGTTATCGAAGACGAACGGCGGTGGCTCTACGATTGAAAGGCCCAGAGACAGCGGAGAAAGGATGACGACGATGGCAAACTGGATCTAGGGCACAGAACAGAAAAGAAAAAGAGAGCTTCTCGTTCTTTCTGATTCGAACTTGTGTTCATTAGGGTTCGATATCACGAAGGTTCAGGCTGGGTTTTAGGTCTCTGTATGAAGACGGAGGCTAGGGCTTAAACGGTAATTTTCCGACACTGGTTTCTGGAAAGCAATCATACGGGCCTACATTTGTCTCAGAACGAACCTTCTGCGTGAGTCAGATGCTTTGAACTGGAAAAAGAAATACTTCCATTTTATATTTTTTGAAAAATAATATATAAAAACCTAAATTTTTATAAAAATTCCAGATAAACATCTAAACAATAAAACTTTCCAATAAATACCTAAATTTTTAAAAATTCTATATAAATACCTAAATTTTTGAGAAATTTTCTAAATAAATACAAATTTCAGGTATTTTTCAAATAAAAATAAGTGATGATATTAACGAATTTTGAGTTTATTTGGAATTTTTTCAGAAATCTATGTATTTATATATGATTTTAAAAAAATTCAAGTATTTATATGAAAATTTTATAGTTCAGATATTTATATGGATTTTTGTAAAAGTTTAAGTATTTCTATGCGATTTTTCCAAAACAAAATTAAAAGAGATTTACAAAAAATGTGTGCTCGATTAAACCAAGCGAATCCTGATTTGATATGATAATCGAAGCTGAAATTAACCGGAATAACCAAACCATCGGTATATGATCTCTAACACTGAAATTAATCGAAATAAACAGACATCGTATTCCCATCTTGATGGTTAAGTGACAAAGATGATCAACAACAACGGGTTTAGTCAAAATGTCTGCTAACTGATCAACAACCGAGATGTAGAAAGGCTTGAGGACTCGGATTTGATCCATAGATGAACATAGTGATAATCTAAATCTATATGCTTCATCCTCACGTGGAAAACCGGTTTATTGGCGATATGAACTGCAGAAATGTTATCACAAAATAAAGAAATACATTTCTGACAGTAAATGCTCATCTCATGTAACAAAGTATCAATCCACACTAGTTCAAAGCATGTTTGAATCATTGTTCTATACTCGGATTCTACACTACTTTGCGAAATAGTTTTCTATTTTTTCGATTTCCATGAAACCAAGGAATTCCCAAGGAAGACACAAATCTGTGATGGATCTACGAAAATCCAGGCAAGAAGTCCAATTTGCATCGGTATAAACACTTAACTGAGTATCTGAAGTAGAAGAGTAGAATAAACCTTGAGTAAGATTTGATTTCAAATATCGAAGAGCACAAAATGCATCCTAAAGATAAGTCATTCTAGGAGCTGACATATATTGACTCAGCTTGGTAACCGAAAAGTTGATGTCTGACCTAGTAAGAACAAGATAGATTAGCTTACCAATAAGCTTTCGATATTGCAATGGGTCATCAAACAAATCATCAGATTCCATTCCAAACTTCTCTTGAGTTTCTATAGATGTAGCAACAAGTTTGCAACCTAACATGCCAAAATTCTCAAGCAATTCCAAAGTATATTTGCGTTGACAAATAGATATACTTTGCCTTGACGAGCAGTTCTAAGCCTAGAAAGTAATGCAACAGGCCTAAGTCTTTAGTTTGAAAGTAGGAATGTAGTGTCGACTTGAGAGCATAAATCATATCAGAATTGTTCTCTATAATCAACATAGAAAAGGACAACAACAAGATTAGTCCCATCTCTTAATAAAAAGAGAATTGTCGGATTAAACCTGTAATAACCCTATATCAAGGAGAACTTGATACAATTTTTTATTCCATTGTCTTGAAGTTTGTTTCAGGCCATATAAAGAACTTTGCAATTTACACACTGCAGTTGAAGAAACCTTCTCCTCCTGAAGATTATAATAATTTGGAGGAATTTTCATATAAATCTCCTCATCCACTACAAAAAAAATTGTCATTTTCAACGGGCAAATCGTTGGAAATGGCCAAATTTTCGTTGGAAATTAATGTTTCCAACGGATATGGTCCGTTGGAATTATGTTGGAAATCAGTACCCGTTGGACAACCGTTGGAATTTCAACGAAATTTCCAACAGACTTTCCAACCGCAATTCGTCCAACGACAAACTGTTGGTCCATGGAATTTTCAACCGAAATCAGCTGAAATATTTCAATGAAAAATTCAAAATATATTCTCAATCCCGACCCTAGCCACCAACCCTGACACCCATCCTCCTTACTACTCCGGCATAATCTTCTTAACTCTAGAGTTTCAACTGATAATCATCCAACTGTTCCAAGTTAAATTTCTAATATCATATAACATTAATATATATACATATATAAATGTTTATATATAGATATTTATATATATATACACATATACATATACATACACACATATATATATTCATGTATGAATATATTATACGTATATATACGTATAAATATATATACATATATACACACATTTGAATTCATATATATGTGCATAACATATATATGTAGTATAGATATATATATTAGTGGTGGACGTTTCGGCTCGGTTCCTATCGAACCTAAAATTTTGATATTTTTTTCCAAACCGTACCTTTCAAAATTCTTGAACGGTATATTTTTATTAAAACCGAATTTTTCGAAATCGAAGCGAACCGAAGTTTATAAAATTTCCGAAAAACCCAATTTTTTTTAAGAAAATCTAAGAAAAATCGAAACCAAAATCGAATTGAAATTTTATTGGAATTTTTTTCAACCGAAATCCGTTGGAAATTTTCAACCGAATTCCTTGGAAATTTTTAACCAAATTTTTCAGTTGAATACGTTGAAAAATCCGTTAAAAATTTCCAACGGAAATTGTCGTTGAAACGTCATTGAAAAAATTTCAAGGACAAATCCATTAGAAATCGGTGATTTTTTTCTTGTAATGATCCAAATCTCCATTCAAAAATGCACTACTAACATCCATTTGGCCAATTAACCAATTGTATTTCACAGCTAAGTCTAACAACAATCTGATAGTGGTCATCTTAGTTACTGGACTATAGGTTTCCAAGTAATCAACACCCTCCAATTGGGAATAACTCTTAGTCACTAAATGGCTTTATGTCGCTCAATAGAACCATCAACATTATATTTAGTCTTAAAGACCCACTTACAGCTCATTGCATTCTTCCATGCAGGCAAAGAACAACCAGTCTAGGTTTTCCTTCTAGTCAGAGCACTAAGTTCAAGTTTCATGGTCTCCCTTCATTTTCCAAATTGTGCAGCCTGGGTATAGGATTGTAGTTCAGTCTCGGTGGTGATGCTGAGAGCGAATTGTCGATAGGAAGGGGAACGAATATTATAGGTCAAACAAGCAGACAAAGGGTATGGAATAACATAGAGATATTTTGAAGAAGATAACAATGGTAATCAGAAAGATAAGCAGGTGGCTTACAATGTCGCTGTGGTATGAGATTAGCATTTAAAGATTCACAAACAATACCAGGTGTATCTGTTTCAGAAAAGGAAGACAAAGGTGAAAGAGACAAAACAGAAGAAGATGCAACAGGAGACGCAGAAGGAGAAACAGATGGGACAGTAGACTAAAAAAGAAAAGGAGAAATAGAATTTGAAAAGATATCTAATGTTGATTGTGAAACAGAAGACTTGAAACATAATATATATTCATGAAATATAATATTACGAGAAGCAAACAGAGCATTAGACTCAAGATTAAGCAGCTTATAGCCCTTTACTCCATGGAGATAACCAAGAAAGATGGCAAACACAACTTGAGGACTGAACTTATGTCTGCCTTTAGGCAAGATGGACACATAACGTAGACAACCAAAAACCTGCAAATGAGTATAAGGTTTGCGAGTGAACAACTCAAAAGGGGTTTTGTTATCCAAAAGAGGAGACATAGTTCGATTAATCAAGTAAATCAAGGTAAGAATACAATCACCCCAACAACACAAAAGAACATTAGATTGAAATAAGAGAACCCGAGCAACATTCAAAATATGTTGATGTTTTCGCTCAACAATCGAATTTTATTGAGGTGTATAATGACAAGAAATTGATGAAGAATGCCTTTTTTGGCAGACAGAGAAGTAAATGACAACTCTGGAGTATTATCAGTTCGAACACTTTTAATGAAGTATTAAACTGATTCTCAACAAAAGAGATGAATTCAGAAAACTTCTGTAAAATATCACTCTTTGATTTAAGAAGATAAACCCAAGTACAACGATGTAGTCATCAACAATTGTAAGAAAGAAACGGTGACCATCAACAGTTGTCTCAGAAAATGGGCCCCAAACATCAACGTGAAATAGTTAAAAAGGATAAGAAGAAACATGGAAGGAAGTTGGAAATGATAGATGCTTCTGCTTAGCTAGAGGACATATAGAAACACGAAAAAGAACTAGTGTTTATAAGAGTAAAGGAAATCTGCGAAAGCCCGAAACTCGGGGTGTCAATTTAGGCCCAAGGTCCGAAACTCGGCCTAGCCCAGTCCGAAAATTAATGGTTTTGGGTCTATGTTTTTTGGACCGAAAAAAGGGATTTCGGGCCAGGCTCAAATCGGACTTCGGGTTCGAGTCGGGTCAGTCTGAAAACCCAAAATTTAGGAAAAAAGAAAAAAAAATAACATTTACAAAGGGAAATAAGCGGGCTGGCCCGATCTGGTCTGACCTGACTCGAGCCCGGAATACATAGGATTGGGGTTCGAGCTTAATTACATAGGCCCAAAAAAATCAGGCTGGCTCGAGCCCAAATCCAAAACCTTTGGGTCGAGTGCGGGCTCAGGCTGGGTTGAGTCGGGCTGGTCTGATTGACACCCTTATAATGAACTTTAGTGTTGGAAGGATGGTCAAGACGACGAGGCCATAGATCAAAAGTTGTAGTCGAAAGAACTATGCATAAAGGATTGGAAAGGGAGAATGATGGTGGAGAAGTATGTTGCATCTCAGAGATATATAGGTTATGCACTTGAACACCCTTGTCAAACCCCGAGTAAGGCTCTGAATGACATAAGAGTCACAAAAAAAATGCACAGAACAAGAGAATTGTTGAGTTAGAGAACTAAAACTTGGAAGATTATAATGGAAAGAATGAACAAATAGAACATAATACAAAGTCATGGAAGAAGACAATGTCACAGTATCAAATTGAGTAATTTAGATGAAAGAATGATTAGGAACGAAACATATACATATGGTATATCATAAATTTCAGAAAACAAATTCAAATAACAACAAACATGTGTACTAACACTTGTATCTAAGATCCAAACAGCAGAGGAAAAAGTAAGGTATGGAGTGGAAGTTGAAAAAACAAGGTGAGGAAAAAGGGGTAATACCTGATGATGGTGGTAAAGGCAAAGCAAAATTTGAGTCCACGGAGAAAGAATCCTGACCCTTTTGCTGAATAAGCAGCTGTGCCAAAAGCGATTGAATTTGTTCCAGAGTGTTCTTCCCTGCATGATCATTACTAGTAACTTTTGCGATAGACAAGTTATCACCAGCGTCCAATTGAGAATCAACCATATTAACTCTGTTTTGAAATATATTAGAAGATTGAAATCTAGGCTTCGACGAGTTGGATAATCTTGAATTCCAACCGAGGTGGTCTTATACCGCGGAGGGTACCCATGAATGCGAAAACATCAATTAACAGTATGACCAAACATTCCACAGTGGTTACAGATAGGCCGAGAACAATTTGGAGTGGAGAAAAAATAACGAATAAAATGATTGAGTAGGTTTATTTGAAATAATACGAGAAATAGAAGGTGAAACAAGCTTAGAAAAAATGGATAGGATCAGAGAGAATGTCAAGCATTAAAATCTGACGTCTAGCAGTAGAATAAGGTGTACAACCCCCATATGTACATCTTTTATAATTATACATAGGTAATTTCTCATAAAGTTTCATGTCTTCCCATAAGGTGCTTAACTTTGTAAAATAGGTGTTTAGATCTAAAGATCCTTGATGCAAACAATCAATTTGATGTTGAATACTGTAAATCTTAGAGACATTAGTCTTATGAAAACAGTTTTCCAATTCACTCAAGATGTTATTATCTTTGTCCATGTAAGAAATTAAACTGGCAATTTTCTGAGTGGGCAACATTATTCAACCAAGTGCAAACTAGCATTATTGTGCAACCACGAACCTAAAGAGTATTCATTCTTCACATGTTGAGGTAAAATACCAAGAACAAATCCCAGTTTATTCTTAACCAAGAACGCCTTCTGGATAGATATAGACCAAACATCATAGTTAGCCTCACCACGAAACTTATCAGAAACGAGAAAAATACTGGAAGAGTCGACCGCATGTAAAAATAAGGGATCGAAACAAGTATCCCTCGAATTCGATGAAGAACCAGAGTTAACAGAAGAGACGGGAAAATGAGCAGATAACCAATGTGAATCGGCTTAACAAATCAATGACATCGCCAATTGCAGAAAGAAAGTATGCTATGAATAATAAATGGAAAACACAAAAAGAGGGACAAATATTTTGAAAGGGGATGGTTTTTATTTCGAGTTTTTTTTTTGTTTTATTTTTTGGATTTTAGTTCTAGTTTTTGTTTTGGTTTTTCCATTTATAATATTTGTAAACGGGTTATGAAGTTGTAGTTTTTAGAGTTTTTAAATTTTAAAAACAAACAAAAAATAACCAATCAAGTTTTTATAAAATCGCTTTTTCTAAAAACTTGGAAAACCACATTGATAAAAAAAATCAATTAAAAACTAAAAAACTTTTTTAAAACCAAAATTCAAAAAACAAAAACTAAAGTAAAAAACTCAAAATAAAAACTAATACCTTTCAAAACACAATAATTTTTTATTTTTCATTGATTTGTTTTGAATCAAAATGACTTTCTAAGTTCTAGGAAAAAATAATTTTATAAAAAAACTGAATGATAAATTTTTTTTTTCATTTTTGAAATATAAAAACTCCAAAAAAATCTAATAAAAAATCTTTTTAACTATTTAAAAATCTTTCACCTTTATGACACATATCCCCTAATCTCACCACAATATTATACAATTGGAAACCACCTCTGAAAACCGTTCTCTCTCTCAATTCAACCGAACAAAAAATAACCGTAAAATTACAAAGAATAAGAAGAAATCACTTAACCGGTTTAAACCAATCTTCTCCTCCTCATCCCTCACTTGTGGTTAGCCAATTTGGACCTTGTCTTAGCTTCGTTGTAGAGAACCACTCCCATGACCGTGACGGCGAAGCTGGTGACTCCCATCGCCGTCACCGGATTCCGGAAAATCATCACTGACACTCCGGCCGCCACCGCCGCCTTTCCGTTGCCGAGCACCTGCAATGTCAGAGCGCTCGTGTGCTTCGTCACTAAGAAATTCACCAGATACGCAGCTGCGGCGTTTCTGAGTGAAGCTTGTCAGATTCAGATGTTAGGGAGATCCCCTGAACCACCGATTTCAGAGGCCTCCTAGTCGTGGATCCGAGACATACGAGGAATCCGAAGAGGTGGAATACCATTTCCTGTTTTGCATCGATTAGGTATGCACATTAATTATATACCCACTGTTTGTTCCTTCATCACAAATTGCTTCTTAGAACGTAGACCAAGTAGCTATCCATCCTGCAATTTAAATTGTTGGAATAACCTAGGAGATGTAGGTATCATGGTTTCACGGTATCCTTTTGAAATGAGATGCATCTCAAATTTGTGCTGGAGAGTTCACTGTCTTTATCTGGTATTGCAGGATGCTTTAAGAACGTTCTTACTTGATCGTTCAAGAATTCCAGGCTCTCTTAAGTGACTGCAAAGACGTATTGGATGAGACAACCACAATGAAAGAATTGGTATACTTTGCTAATCTCAAGGAGCAGTTTGAAATTGTTGTTGATCATTATATTCAGGTGATGAGCAAGAAGAGTTTCTTTCTTCCCGAATGACACAATACAAGTAGATATGGTATTTTGGCCAGGCTTGTTCAATTCACAATTATCTGATTTTTTTTTCTGCCATCAGCAATGGGAAGCAAAGAAAACATTGGAGGTTCTCCAAAAGTCTCCAGTTCCTGTCGAACTTCAGGTACATCGAACCTCGAACATGCTGCGAATGTCTGTTGCCTTCCAATTTAAGTCAGGCTACCACGTGTACATTATTGAGTACGAAGCTTGGTTTCTGGGACTAGTAAAAGTAATTAGAAATCTAAGTTTTATTTTATGCTCTGTATGTGTTGATTCCCTTTCGTGATCGGGTTTTAACCATTCTGGTTCAGACCGAGCGTATACTCGATTTACAGAAGTAACTGACATTGCTTGGTAGTGAAACACGGAGGGATGCAAACAGTAGTCTCCCTGATGAAACCATGACTGGTACAACTACTGCAGAGAAGGTAAGGAGATTCATTTTCAAGGCAACCAAGTTCTTCATTTAGTTTCTTCGTTTTATCCTTTTCTCTTGAGCATTTTTTTCTTGGATAATTTGGCTTGACATGCCGTCTTTTATCACGAGGCAACTCCGGTCAAAGCTGGACGACATGGTAGCCAGTGAATGTCCATTCTACGGAGAATTTATGATCAATGAGATCAGTCGGCCTTTTATTAAACCCGAGGAAGCACAACATGCTGCTTCATGGGACATCCAGCCGAAAAAGGACATAGCGTTTCAGAGGACCATTCCGTTGCCTGTTTGATTGTCAGCGTCCATTGCAGGTTCATTTGATATACTATCAGCGTGTTTCCTGTTTTGCTCATGTTGTTTGTAAACTCGTTTTTGTGTGATTTCTTCTTAGACTGAGGCTGGCATAGGGGTGTGGATATTGATCTTTGGGTGCTCTGTTATGGATGTAATATGCGTGCATGATTCTCGATAGAGAACGATCTCAGAATTTATCGATTCTCTTTGTGTCGGAGCCTGTTTTGCAAACTCCCATGAAAGGTTTCTTCTCCTTCTAAGGATTCTCTTTGTATCGACTGATCTTCCCGGACAAAGGCAGGGATGGACACGAAAGAGACATGCAAAACCAAGGCACTTGCTCTTCATACTTTGGTTCTTGCTGCTTTTGATGGTTAGGAAAAGACACAAGCAGTTTCATTGATAGAGAAATGTTACAGTTGTTGTTTGACAACGTAAACAAATCTAAAACCTACAAGAAAGCTCATTCGCCATGTTTATGGCGAGGGATCTTAGTACCAACGTGGAATCTTAGGATTTTGGAAAGAAAACAGATAAACTGCCGAATTGAGATTAATGGAAAAGAGGTTACACAGTCTGAGAAGTTGATTTTTGTGAGCCCCTCCCTTACAGAACAGGCATATGCCAAAACCCATCCCGATGCTTATAATTGATATATGGTCTGTGCCTCTCCATAACGTGGCTCCTTCACCTGCCGTGGCTGCTCCTCCCTTCTTCATTCCTCTTTCTCTTCCTCACACAAGCTCTGAGCAGCTTACCAAACTCTCCTCGGAAGCAAAGAACGAGATACACAATGCCTAAGAATGCATTATACATACGTCCTAGGTTAAACACCCGAAAACATATTACCCGAAAATATACTATAATATATGACTTTTTACTTGTTCTCGAATACAAAAAACCGTGAAAAACGCGTCCTTGAGTCACCGGTGAAATCAGAACGAGACTCGGGTATAAAATGCTCGATAAACATCGGGATTGACGTAGACGGAATCAAACCTACGCGTTAAGGCTTTCCTAGACACGGTTGATCACTAGACATGGGACTTATATCGCTAACCGAAATCTATACCGGGATTTCCGATTCCTTTCCAAACTCATCTCTCGAACCATTCCTAACCTAAGCACATAGGATGCTTTGACCCTAATCCGAATACCGTATAATCCCTTTTTTTCCCCCACCCCGTGCTTCTAGGACGTTGAAGTTGGCGGCTATATATTTAATGATATACTCATCCCACAACTTATACCCGTGCTATCAATATTTGATACACTCGTGTCCTCGAACGATATTCGTTAACGATTTACGGACAGAGGAGTGTCGGAATTTTTCTGAGCCACTAGGACGTTGAAGTTGGCGGTAATATTTTTATTTGATACTCGTCCCACAACTTAGACCCGAGCTATCGACATTGGATACACTCATGTCCTCGAACGATATTCGTTAACGAGTAGCAAGACAGAGGAGTGTCGGAATTTTTCCGAGCCTCTAGGACGTTGAAGTTGACGGTTATCTTTTTTTTTTTAATACTCACCCCACAACTTAGACCCGAGCTATCGATATTCAATACACTCATGTCCTCGAACGATTTTCGTTAACAAGTAGCGGACAGAGGAGTGTCAGATTTTTTCCGAGCATCTAGGAAGTTGAAGTTGATGGTTATCTTTTTATTTTATACCCGCCCCACAACTTAGACCCGAGCTATCAGCATTCGATACACTCATATCCTCGAACGATATTCGTTAACGAGTAACGTGATAGAGGAGTGTCGGGATGGTGTATAAAGGTATTTTTCGGTCCGGTGGACCTCGCAAACCTATAACTTTGGTCGTCATGATTCTTAGGGAGATATATACACTTGGCTCAGGAAACAGAAATTCTTTCTAAAACTCAGAAAACGACTCATCCCACAATCTAGTAACCAACGATAATAGGTTTTCCTGAACAGCTTAGTCTGACAATCCACCTAAGTCTTAGGCAATCTAAGAACGTCTTTCCCTTTGTTATCTAAGCAATGCAAACCGTCTGTTCTCTACTTATCATCATGTTTCACCATCGGACTCAGAACGGTTATGCACGTGTTCCTACATGCATCTAACGAAAAGATACAATGTGATAGCTATGTACATGCTCCTAAAATCCCGCACGCAATGCTACTATATGCTCTCTTTTTTTCGAAAACAAATGCAATAAAAATGAAGAAAACATGCATGCAAATTCACAATGATATGTACGAATGATAGAATGACTTAGCTCTAGGTGATTTCTTCATGTCAATCCAGGCGGAGGCATCCTATGAGCGCATCTAACAATGTTGTCCACTTGAGGCTTCTCCTCGTGCAAGAATGGATGCTCCAACAACATGGTAGCGCTGCTTCTTTCTTCCGGATTGCTTGCAAAGCAAGTTTCTATAAAATTTCTTGCGTCGCAAGGCAGAGTCTCTGGAATCTTGGGCGCATGACCAATCGCTAGGAAAGGCAATATGTAATAATCTTCGCTTGTCGACCAGGGAAGCACTCCAGTGAACATCTCCAGCACGATGCATCCCAACGACCACAGATCGTGTGCCGTCCCGATCTCGCCTTCACAGGCTGACTCTGGTGACATGTATTGCGTTGTTCCGATAAACGGAGTCTGCGAATCTCCTTTCTTGACCTCTCTCGATAACCCGAAGTCTGAAATCTTGATCTCATAGGCCGAGCTGCATGTGCTCATCTCTCTGGGAAACACGAGGATGTTGTCGGGTTTGAGGTCGCACTGAATGTAATGGTGTCCGTGGATGACAACCAAACCCTCGAGAATCATGCGGGTGAACTCTTTGATCAACTGATCGGGCAGTCTTCGATTGACGTGTCTGTCCATGAGATCGGCGAGAGTGCCTCCTGATGCATATTCCATGAACATTCTGAATTCTTTGTCGCCTTTCTTAGTCTCCTTCTGTACCACCCTGTCCCCGTAGCATTGGACGATCCTTGGACAACCTCGGAACTTGGAAAGAATCTCAAACTCTTTGAGAAGATTCTCGGAATTCTCCGGGCTGCTTGTCTTCATGGCGTTGTAAACGGAGCCACCTCCTTCGACGGTGAACTTGACGAGCTTGACAGAACCATAAGAACCCTCGCCAAGAAACTTTGTGATCTGCATCTTCCGCGGCGCCATTGAAATGCAGAGAGAAATCTGAAGGATTTGATCTGCGGGTGAAAAGGTCCTTCCTTTGCATTCGATAACTCATTTGCTGAAAACGAGTCAGTGTTTGTTACTTTGGCAGCAAGCAATCAAACGACGAAGCGTAATCATATCTCATATAACTTGTTTTTTTTTTTTGAGTTTATCACGCTGCAGTACAAATTCTAGAGGGTAAATGAGTCCATTTTTTCAAATTGTTTTTTTTTTTATAAATATATCAACATTTCAAAACCAATTAAAAAGTAGAACTCATAACGAATACAAACTCCCAACTAGATATCTTTTTCCTTTCTTTTTTTTTTTTTGTTGGAGTTCATCATGCTGCACTATAGATTCCAGAGGTAAATGAGTCCATTTTTTCTAATTATTTTTAAAAATATATAAATTCAAAACCAATTAAAAAGAAAAACACATAACGCATACAAATCACATCACGAAAATGAACTAAATGTCTTTTATAATATCGAATCCAAATAGTGTAATACAAAATCACTCGATATCGGTTTGGTTTTTTGTTTTCGGTTCGTTTATAAAAGAATACTAATAATTAATAAACAGGAAAAAAAAATTACAAAATCGTTTGTTTGGATTGTTGGAAGTTTAGAGAACTGATCTCATACCTTAGGAAACCATCTTTTTTGTTTTTGGTACTTCATAAGTGCTAGTTCCATAGTTTTTTTTTTTACAATAAATTAAAAGTAATACATATATGTTGTGTATCTATGTTCATGTATATGTGATTGACGTGTTCGATTGTGAAGATTGTTGTGTCTGAATTGGCGATTGTTGGGTTCTTCCATAACTTCTTACTTGTTGCAGAGGTTATGCAGCTTTGGTATCTATTGAGATTTATAAAGGAAGATTAATGTGGTTTTACTGCGGATATTAATTTGGAAGATTTTATTTATTATATTTTTAATTGGACATTTTATTTGGCAGGTTTAGAAAATTGGAGAATTTTTGTTGAAATCTCTATCGAGCTAAATCTGACATCTAAATTGGGATGAACAAAGTTCAAAATGTAACCTATTAAAATAAAAATAGATAAAAAAAATTTGGAAAATTTTGAGATTTTTTCTATATTTATTCCTCTCTGTACTGTTTATATACAAGTAAAAAAAGAATAAAAAATGAAAACAGAAAGCGTAACAAGAATGTAAAATAGAAAACAAAATTGAAAAAGATTTACAAAAAACGTGTGCTCGATTAAACCAAGCGAACCCGGATTTGATCTGATAATCGAAACTTAAATTAACCGTAATAACCAAACCATCGGTATATGATCTCTAACACCGAAATTAATTGAAATAAACCGACATCGTCTTCCCATCTTGAAGGTTAAGTGACAAAGATGATCAACAACAACGGGTTTAGTCAAAATGTTTGCTAACTTATCAACAACCGAGATGTGCAAAGGCTTGAGGACCCGGATTAGATCCATAGATGAACATAGTGATAGTCTAACTCTATATACTTCATCCTCACGTGGAAAACCGGGTTTATTGGCGATATGAACTGCAGAAAGGTTATCACAAAATAAAGAAACATTTTTTACAGTAAATGCCCATCTCATGTAACAAAGTATCAACACACACTAGTTCACAGCATGTTTGAGTCATTGTTCTATACTCGGATTCTACACTACTTTGCGAAATAGTTTTCTATTTTTTTCGATTTCTATGAAACCAAAGAATTCCCAAGGAAGACACAAATCTGTGATGGATCTACGAAAATCCAAGCAAAAAGTCCAATCTACATCGGTATAAGCACTTAACCGAGTATCTGAAGCAGAAGAGTAGAATAAGCCCTGAGTAGGATTTGATTTCAAATATCGAAGAGCACAAAATGCATCCTAAAGATAAGTCATTCTAGGAGTTGAAATATAATGACTCGGCTTGGTAATCGAAAAGTTGATGTCTGACCTAGTAAGTGCAAGATAGATCAGCTTACCAATAAGCTTTCGATATTGCAGTGGGTCATCAAGCAAATCGTCAGATTCCATTCCAAACTTCTCTTGAGTTTCTATAGGT